GAAGTATATTGTAGTGCATACTGAAGCTTCAAATTGCTATTATCTCTGCTCCTGGAATTTTACTTGTAGAAACTTTCAAAGGCAATAATAATAGATATGATTAAAAATGTTCACACTAAAGCCACACCAGGTGCCAGTGGCTCAAGCCTGAAATGCTAGCTACTCCAGAGGTTGAGATTTGAGGATCACAGTTCAAAGCCAGCCAGGGCAGGAAGTCCTTGAGATTCTTATCTCTAATAGGCCAGAAGTACAGCTGTGGCCCAAGTGGTAGAGCACTGGCCCTGAGGAAAAAAAAAGCTCTGGGACAGCTCATAGGCCCTGAGTTCAAGCCCCAGGACTACCATGCACACACACACACACACAAAGTTCACAACAGAGTTTTTATTACAGTGGAATCTTATTAGCTACCTGAGTGTTTAACAGGAGATAAATTATGACACATCTATAAGTGACATATTATGAAATTAGCACATGGGACATAAATATATAGGTGAGTATTTGGTACTACAAAAAAGTTCACAGTAAATCATTAAGCAAAAGCAATGTGCAAATACTATGTATTATATATATGTTTTTACATTACTTACATGACATATAGATGATCTTTATTTTAAAATAATAAAATTTTCCTTAAGACAAATTGGAGCCAGGTACCAGTGGCTCACTCCTGTAGTTGTAGCTACACAGGAAGCTGAGATCCAGAGGTTTGCAATTCGAGGTCAGCTTAGGCAGAAAGATCTCTAAGACTCTGTCTTCAAAATAACCAGCAAAATTACAGGTTGGAGGCATGTAAAGCAAGCAAGCTGAGCACAAGTACTAAGCCCTGAGTTTAAATCCCCATTTCTTCCTTCCCCCCAAAAAGAATGCTACTTGCAGGACAATAAGTGGGGCTGGAAATTGTTAAGTGAAATAAACTACTCTGAGAAAGACAGATATAACATGTTTTCTCTCAAATGCTGAATCTAGACATTAAAAACAAATGACATGAGTTTAAAATGGAGGGACTAATTGGGAGACGGTGAAAAGAGAAACAGGGAAAGGGATGACTATAATCAAAGAATGTCATGTGCATATATGAAAAGAAAATGATACTAAAAATTTTTTAAAGAAGGGGTGAAATGAATAATGGAGTGAGTTTGATCCAAGTACATTACATGCATGTATAGAAATATCACAGGGGCTGGGAAGGTGGCTCAGTGGTAGAGCGCTTGCCTTGCATGCCTGAGGCCCTGGGTTCAATTCCTCAGTACCACATAAGCCAAAAGGAAAAAGCCGGAAGTGGCGCTGTGGCTCAAGTGAGAGAGCACTAGCCTTGAGCTGAAGAGCTCAGGATCAGTGCCCAGACCCAGAGTTCAGGCCCCATGACCGGACCCCCCCCCAAAAAAAGAAATATCACAGAGAAATTCTTTTTACAAGTAATATATACTAGTAAAGACAGAACAGGCAAACGGATGAACTTCATAGCCTATGCTACTTACAGGACATGTGTGCAGAACTTCAAAGATTCTTCCAAAATCATTTTCACTCCGAGAATCTCTACTGAAGGATAATTATCTGTCCTCTTTATCTTCTGTGTATCCCATGTCCTCAAGGCAGCCTTTTTCCATGAAATATTTTGAGATCCAGTTGGGTAGTTTCCCAAAAGGGATGGATTGTTTTCATTTAGATACTGTGTAGAGATACTCACTCCTTATCTGGAGAAACAGGGATGGTGACAAACATGGTCTTCAGAAATAACCCCGAATCCCAATAGGGATTCAGCCTCTGCACTGTCTTCCAACACAGCTATCATGTGAAGAGAATGATTACTAATTAGAAATCTTTTCCTAATTTTAGTGGCACACATACATTGCTGATACCAGGCACAATTACCACTTCAAACAAAGAACTAAGGGGAAAAGGACACAAAGCAGTCCTAATCTTCAACAGTAGCTTTATAGGTAACATTAAGCTGAACTTGTGCAAAGGATTTTTATTGACTGTAATTGCAAGATTAATGGAAAATAATACAAGTGGTTTTTACAGGTTGAAAATGTGACCCAGGCATATAAACTGGAAATGGAGGAGACATTTGGCAGTGGGATTATAGAAGTGGGCTTTGGGTCAGGTTAGAACTTGTATCAATCCCTCATGAACTATGGCCTTAGACGGCTTAATAGTTTAAGCCTCACATTTTTCATTTGTACCTTAATGAAAATAATAGTACTTGCTAAAAGGCTACTTAGGAGTTAAGACAAATTATGTAGGGCACTTAACACAGTGTCTTAAAGGCAGTAATAAACATCAAAGAAATTTTGGCTATCATGATCATTATTATTACTGTTGTTAAAAAGGAGTGTACTGTACCTGTAATCCTAGCTACTTGAGAGGTTGAGATTAGGAAGATTGCAGCTCAAGGCCAACCTGGGCAAATACCACCCCCCTTCCCAGTACAGAGCTAGATGTGGCAGCACATGACTGATAACCCAGCTGCAAAAGAAAGCTGACCACATTAGGCAGAGTGTGCTCAAGAGCACCTAGCATAATGCACGACCCTTTCTCAAAAAACAGCCAACAGAAAAATGGGCTAGAGGGGCTGGGAAGGTGGCTCAGTGGTAGAGCGCTTGCCTTGCATGCATGAGGCCCTGGGTTCAATTCCTCAGCACCACATAAGCAAAAAGAAAAAAGCCGGAAGTGGTGCTGTGGCTCAAGTGGTAGAGCGCAAGCCTTGAGCTGAAGAGCCGAGGGACAGCACCCAGGCCCAGAGTTCAGGCCCCATGACCGGACCCTCCCCCCCCCCAAAAAAAAGGAAAGGAAAATGGGCTGGAGATGTGGCTCAGTGGTAAGAATTGAAGCCTCACAGTGTGAGGCCCAGAATTCAAACACTATTCTAAAAAAAAGGAATATATTTGCCCAGCAGACATTTACTAAGTGTGAGCTATGTGTGAGACACTGTTGCAGATATTGGGATTTGAAAAATTAAACATAATACTGCCTTCAGGGAGCTCACTATTCTACCATGGAGGAGAAGCAAATGCATGTGACAAAAATATACAGTAAGATATTGCATGTATCTTGCATAGGAAGGACTTTAAAGGCTAAAATAATAGAAAATAGTATCCTCTGTGGAACTGCCAGAAGCAATATTGACCCTATATTGCAGCACTCAGATTCTACTTTCTTTAATTGAGGAAAAAAGACACAAATTCACAAATCTTTTATGCACAGTGTGATGAGTATTTACATGTGTCTATATCCATGTACCTACCACTCGGATTAAAATGATCACATTTTCTCTATTCTAGAAGATATTCTTATACCACTTCCAAATCAATACCTTCCCCAGAGGTAACCACTATTCTGAAGCCAGTAGATAAATTCTGTCTGCTTTGAGCTTTGTATGAGAGGAATCATACTGTTAATAACTAAATTCTTACCTGGCAGAAAAAGAAGATAATAATAGAAAAGATAATAAATTCCTAAATACTAAAGTTTTTACTAGCTGGCCACCCATAATCCTAGCTACTCAAGAGATAGAGATTAGGAGAAAAAACAGTTCAAGGCCAGCCTGAAAAGTGGTGCTTGATTATCATTCCAGCTTTGCTGGAGACCGACATTGGGAGGATCATAGTTCCAGGCTAGCCTCAAGCAAAACAGTCTGTAAAACCAGCCAGGTGCCAGAGGCTCAAGCCTGTAATCCTAGCTACTCAAGAGGCTGAGATAAGGATCACACTTCAGAGTCAGCTAGGGCAGGAGAGTATCTATCTCTAGTTAACCACTAAAAATGCCTGAAGTGGAACTGTAGCTCGAGTGGTAGAGTACCCTTGAGCAGAAAAGCTCAAGGACAGTTCCCAATCTCTGAGTTCAAGCCCCAGGATCAGCACAGGGAAAAAAAAAAGAAAAACAGTTTCTGAAACCCCATCTCAACAGGAGAAAGCATGATGGTATGTACCTGCTATCTCAACTGCAGCAGGAAGTGCAAATAGGAGGATCACAGTCCAAACTGATCTGGGCAAAAAGCAAAACCCTATCTCAAAAACAACTAGAGCAAAGAAAGGGATAGACACATGGCTTAAGCAGTAGAGCACCTGCCCTGAATTCAAAACTCAGTGCCAACATAAAAGAAAGAAAGATTTTACTAATGAGTATATTTAATGTCTGTACATTTATTTGTTCCTCTGCTTGCATTGATTCTGGATCGGTGTATTCCTCCAATTTTAAAACATTTCTTTCAAAAAGTTTTGTCTGCAGCAAGCACTTTCTTGTCATTATTCCCTAAAAAATACAACTATTACATAGCATTGTCTTTCTGTTAAAGAATATGGCAGGCCAGATACAGTGGCACACATCCTAGCACTTAGGAGGCTGAGGCAAGATGATTGAGTTCCCACTGGTGTAGACTACATAGGATGATCCTGTCTCAAAGCAGAGGGAAAGATTGCACAAGCCTTAAGGTACACCCAAGGATGTGTGTAAATTGTCTACCATGCCATTTTATATACAGCACGTGTGCATCTACATACCTTGGGTGGGATGGTAGTCCTAGGACCAGTCACCCATAGATGCTATCTCCAAATCAAGTAATCTTACTGAAGTTATGCAGAAACACTGATGAAAATGAGAAGAAACAATGTGATAAATAAAGGTCACAAAAGCATGCTTTTTGTCACCAGTTAGAAAAATTAGAAAGCACAGACATCAGTGAGCGTGGTCTGCAAGATGTTACCCTTGGTCAGCCCTGACAACTGCACTTGAGAGCTGGGAGAGCATACTCCCTCCTAAGGCAGTCTGAGGAACGTATTGCTAGATGATTTGTGAATAGATTCCAAAAGAGAGGAGCTACAGATGGACTCCAGCTATCTCTTTGTAGGGCTGTTGGGATTCACCTTTCTTCATTTCTAGAATTGGGGGGGGCGCGCAGGGAGGGAAAGGAGGTGGAGGTTGGAGTTATTGGATAAAGTAGACACTAAATGCCTCCTGTGCTAGTAGCCTTGTGACAGTCTAGTCTTCTCTTTCTTCAGGTTATTGCTTTGGGACTGTGATGACCGAAGCTACAGCTACTATGTGGAGGTTTCTACCAATCAGCAGCAGTGGACCATGGTGGCTGACAGAACAAAAGTCTCTTGCAAGTAAGTTGTGCCCTTTCTGGATTTTATTCTAGTCACAAAGATGGTCTTTCCCTATGGCTTCAGATGTTCCAGAGAAGATTCATGAAACCACCAAATTCTTATTTACAAGTTAAAAACATACTCCAACGATCCTTTATTTTACTATCAAGTACTTTCATAAAAAGCTTACTTGAGGGCTGGGAATGTAGCTTAGTTGTAGAGTGCTTGCCTAGCATGCATGAAGCCCTAGGTTCGATTCTTTAGTACCACACAAACAGAAAAAGCTGGAAGTAGTGCTATAGCTCAAGTGGTAGAGTGCTAGTCTTGAGCAAAAAGAAGCTCAGGGACAGTGCCCAGGCCCTGAGTTCAAGTCCCAGGACTGGCAAAAAATTTACTTGATATGACTAAACAAGCTTTATTTTATGACTTGAAAATGACTTTACATATAAATATAAATAAGGAAAAAGACAGATACTTTCTTTAGGAAGTCCAGTCTCAGTCCCTCCCTGTATCCCATACTATTTCTTTAGGATTGTTTTCTGCCGTAGAGAGTTTTGCTTGAGTGATCATTATTTCAGTACCTTTATTCTTGGGCTCCATCTTACTTTCCACCCTCATCATTCTCAGGGCTAGCTAAAAATTTATCTCAGTGTTTAACTATACTGCCACCTAAACTAAAAAAGCCTATGTATTAGGTTCTTCATGCACAACATAGACATTTAATGCATTTGGCATGGGGGCTTTGTAAGAACTTACCTGGTTACAGCAACATCTAGGAGGAAGGGTTCTGAGGCTTTGAACAACCGAGTATCACAATATATAAAAGAACTCAGGTTCTTTTTGTGTAGAACAAGATTATGCGGGACACAAGATAGAGCCAAATGGCTGAAATTTCTTTATCCTTTTACCACTGAGTTATGATTCTATATTTTAACCATAAAATGATCCTAAATAAAAGAACACATAACTAACAAACCAATGACTAAGAAGGCATTTTGACATTCTGGTTATATAAACATTGTTCACAAATTATCTCCTAAATTGGTTGGGTCTTCAGTGAAGGAAATGTTCTGTGCCAGCGAATATGTCCCTGCTAGGAAGAATTGTACCATGTTCACATCAAATAGATTAGGTTTTCTTACAAATGCTTAGAATTATTCCCCATATTAAATAGTGTTTTATTAGCCAGCTTTTTGTTTTCTTGAAGTTACTAATTGCCTCTTTTTCCTGTTACAGAAATTTCTGGTTAATTTTGAGCAGATTGCATCTTACACATTCTCTGCAGCTGTGCTCCTAAAGTTTTCTTTTTCTTATCTAGGGTAGCAGTAGTATGCATTAGATTATGTTTTCTGTAGAGTATTGACCTTGGGTCTAGGTCCCTTTTTCTTGATCCACACCCCTAAGTACATGTTACAAGTGTAATGTTAGCTATATTATTAAGCAACATTGATTGCTTATTATAAAAAGAATCCCTGGCCCATAAGTTATGTCTGTCATGGACAGGTCTGTAAGTATCTGGTTGGAAACTATAGCTTTGGGCTTCCCTGAGTCTAATGATATACATGGCTTTTGAGCTTTTCAGCTCATCTGATAAGATTATCCTATAGGTATACTAATTATTGCAAATAAGAGAAACCATGGGACCTAAATTTCTTTGGGACTAGGTTACTTCACTTAATATGATCTTTTCCACTTCTTAAAGATAATAAACTATTTTTTAAAACCCAAAACGTTAATTTTAAATTAAAGTAGGAAGACTATCTTCTCTCTAGAGTATTTTATTATAACCAGAGCATATGGAACTCAGACACCTATGTCTTCAATAAATGTCCACTTCAAATGAATATTACTGAGTTTATTAAAACGTTACTTTCTACTTGCTACAATTGATAGGATTTATTAAACTGAATTTCAAATCAAAGTTTTTTTAAAAGATGGAGAGAAAATGATGAAAGGGGTGACATTGATCAAGATGTTGAGTTGAAACCACTTTGTATAACTACTTAAAGATAATAATACTTGAAGAGCACGAGGCAAGTGGTGACATTGTCCAAAAAGAAATATGCTCATTACCTCACTTACATAACTGTAACCCCTCTGTATATCACCTTTATAATAACAATTTTTAAAATGTAAAAAAGAGATAATAATGAAAAGAATCAGTTGTCTATAATTCACAGTGGCCTTCTTTATTTCTTCCAGACTGCTCTGTCCTATTATATAGCTATCTTGCTTCTTGTCAGATATAGGTCCTTACAAACTGACTTCACTCATTTAACCATTTCTTCAGTAGACCACCGTTGCATTGAATAACAGCTCTGCCTACAGTTAGGGACCTCATCCAGAATCTCTAGGACTGGAGCCTTAGAAAACATCTTGGCAAATGTAAATAGACAGTTATAATCTAGAACTATTATCTAGTCTTTCTAGATTTTAACTTCCAATTTTCTCACAAATTTTCTCTTTGCCTGCCAGACTTACTTCCCAGATTCCCTTCTAAAAATATTTTCTCCAGTGCAAGAGTTCATTTTAAATCCCTGCCTGGCAGGTACAAGGCCCTGTAACAACCCCTGTAACAATAAAAATAAAATTAAAAAAAATTAAATGATGTAGTGGCTGGGCATGTGGCTCAGTTGGTAGAGTGTTTGCCTGGTATACCCAAGGTAGTAGTAGGTTTCATCTCAACCACTAAATAAATAAATGAATTTTCAAACAGTTTGGAATAGCTTAAGAAAATACATGATATATTTTTATTTCAAAACAGAGCACAAAATTATAAAAAAGTAGCATCACAATTAGAGGGGAAATAATGCAAGTTTAAAGGAGAACCAAAGAGAAATGTCGGGTTGTTAACAATGATTGTGTAGTTGAATTGTGAACATTTTTTCTAATTTTCTACATTTCTGATAAATTTACACGTGTTTCTTTCAAAATTCAAAAGAAGGGCATGATTTTTTTTTGCTACAAACATAAATGTTATGTAGATGTTTGTCCTTTCCATTAATTAAGTAACATAATCTGGGAGAGTGGTGTATTTATACAATGCCAGCAATAAATCAAGAAAATTAAATAAGTGCTGTACATGGCGGTATCCCAGCCGCTCTTCAGGACCTTAATGCCACTTACCCCCAGCACGAGTTGTGCTTCCCTTTAAATGACACTTGAACCTCATTCTCTTCATGCTTCTCATGGAGGACCCTTAAAGCCTGATCTCCAGCACTTCCTCCCTTTGCCTTTCCCCAGGACTTCAAAAACTATTTCCTTTGGAGTCTGCCTTCTCTAAGAGTCTGACCTTCAGGGGTGGTTGGGGCAGACCTGTGGAGCAGTCTGATTCCAGGAGGTTTCTCCTTGTGTCCTCCCTGGGAAATACTCTGTCTCTGTGTCCTATATGACCTGGGTAGGGTCAGCCGTCTGTTTTCTGGTCTTCAGCATGGTTATATCCACATCTGAGAATTCTGTTTCCTCCCTGTGGAGTGTTCTGACACTTAGACCTGGGTAAGGGCTGTTTTCTAACCTAAGGTCTCTTTCTGTAGCTGCTATTTATTTAGGAATCTTAGAAAGACAAATCATGTTTCTTCTAAGAGCTGCTGAGGCTAAGAGTAGCAGGATAAATTAAAGGTGAAGACATACAGCTTCAGTAAACTCTTCCAAAGTGAACCAAGATTGAAAAATGGCACATTTAAACCTAGTCAATTTACTTTACCTGCAATTTTCTGCATCTTCTTTCCCATTGTTGGTGATGATGTTAAGAAAGCTATCTTCCTACCTATTTTGTCTGTTAGCTGGACACTCAACAAAACAAAAACCTTGGGCTGGTTCCAGGGGTTGCTTCTGGCCATGTGATTTGGGATTGTACATGAAGGACGAGGAAGCACCATCCATGCTGCTGACAAGAAGCTTGTAGTCAGTGTCACTTGGAGCTTCTAGGAAGGGCCTGGCACTCTCTACTGTCATGTAGATCCCACATTGAAATGTCACTGTTGCTCCTGAGTTTCTGCTGTGCTAATAGCCAGGAATGCTGTCCTCAGATTTCTCATTCCTGCAGAGTTGGAGGAGTGTGTTTACTTGTTCCTTCCACAAGTGTGAGCCAATTAATGGGCCATGGTTGTGTAATTGTCATTTTAAAACTGCTCAGTGAAGATTTTGTTGTTCTTTCTTCAGACTTATTTCCATTTTTCTACACGGCATTTGACAATAATGAAAAAGCTAGCCTTGTTCTTTCCTGTACTTTTTAAAAGGGCAAACTGATGTTAATTTTGTCAAGACTTTTAAAACTTGAGCAGTAAAGAAACATGTCCCTGTAAGAAGAATAGCAGAAAAAGAAAAAGAAAGAAGAAAAATAACAAGTTAAGCATATACATACACACCCCATAGGAGGCACATCCCTATGTTAACAATAAGATATCAGAGCTTGCCTTACAGAAGATATCACAGCTGCAATCCTAGCTACTAAAGAGATTGAGATCTGATAATCATGGTTCAAAGCCAGCCTGGGCAGAAAAGACCCTGTGAGACTCCTTATCTCCAGTTAACCACTCAAAAACTGGAAGCAGGGTTGCGGTTCAAGTGGTAGAGCACTAGCCTTGAGTAAAAGAGCTCAGGCTCTGAGCCCTACAAGTGACAAAAGGAATGAAAGAGAGAAAGGAAGGGAGGGAGACAGGCAGAAAAGGAAGGAAAGGATCGCTTCAATTAGAATATTTTAGAGTAGAACATAACAGGAGTCAGTCATTTGTAACTGGACCTTCAGAGGGGACTTAATATTTGTATTGCAGAAATTTACCCACACATTGGAAGACATGGAAAAGGGACTTTTTTTTTTTTTTTTGCTAAGTATGAGAAGTATCTAAGTTGAGTGGACCCTCAGGAAGGCTCCTCCCCTCCCACAACATATGACAAATGAAGGAGCTGGAGGAAGATGAAGCCTTCTTAGCAGCTGATGAGGAGGGAGAAACTGCAAACTCTTAACTTCTTTCTTCCTTACTTAATCTAGGAGCCACATTATTCTGTGACGGTAATAATTT